TAACAAGTTGTTGAGAGCTTTTGCGATTGATTTATCCAAACCAGGACTTGCTCTTAGGTGGGTTTTACTTCTTATAGTGGGAGGCTCTGCTCAGTATGGATCATACTGGTACAAAAGGTGTCTGTGTTTTCTCTAAGTATGATATTGCAGTGTTTTTTTTCTCTAGAAAATTTTCAGGCTGCTTCAAAGCTGATGAGATTCTGAGTTAGTCCAAAATTCTCTGGCATCTTCTACATGGATAACTTTCCTCCACTGAGAAGTGTTTTGTTTCTGGTTCTTTTGTGCTCTGCCCCAAGACAAAAGAGGTTGGTCAGAGAAAGATTTCAGGGAGTTAAAGTGAAGTTCAACAAGAACACAACTGGCCAGGCAATGGTACTGGGTCTGAAAATAACAGTACTAAGAACAGTAATACAGGCAAGGAGCTACCAGTTGATAAAATCATACAAATTCTTGTATGTATTATAAATTCTGAAGCCTCCAGACACCATAGGGAGGTAAGGGTATATTATTAAGTACTAATTTATTTCAAGAATTGGTTGACATGGTACAGATAGTAAACAGAATACTCTATGGATTTACTATGAGTTTCCCAAGAGACTCAGCAGTTAACCTACACTTGCTTCACTGCACTTTTCCCAGATCAGTCTGAATCTCAACGTTTTTATGTGACACAGGCAGGAAGAATTACAGACTCTAGGATGAGTTGGATATTTCACAGGTGTTCTCAAAAAAAAAAGAGGGAATAATCAAAAAATTAACACAGAGAATTCAGTTTCAGTCAACTTAAATGCAGAACCAAGAAAATACCAAGTACAGAAACTTGCTGAAACTAACAGAAGATGAGGAAAAGAAGCAGAAGCTAAGTCCTCATTAACAGCAAAGGGCCTCCAAACCTACAGAAAGCTTACCAGGAGGTTATTTGTCATATTATTTCTTCCTTTAGATTAGCATATTTTGTATTTGCATATATGTGTGCACACAGGCATATGCTCTCCAGACTTCGGTGTTTTGGTTTGGGGGTTTTTTTGGCCATTACAGAGATTTGGTCATCAAAAGAAAACTCCTCTTATGGAAAGGAGTAATTCAAGGGGACTTACAGAAAAACACAGTATTCTACACCAAACAGTATTTTACCGATAGCTAGAAAGGTGGAAAGTGTTGATGGCTGGAAGATCTTGACAGGACCAGAGGCCTTGGGCACTCGCTGAAACGCGGGAGGTTCCCTCTGAACATCAGGAAACACTTTTTTACTGTGAGGGTGACTGAGCACCGGCACAGGTTGCCCATGGTGGTTGTGATGTCTCCACTCTTGGAGATATTCAAAAGCCATCTGGACACTGTCCTGGGCAACCAGCTCTAGGTGGCCCTTCTGGAGCAGGGGGGCTGGATCAGATGGCCTCCAGAGATCCCTGCCATCTTTCTGTGATGATCTGGATTCTAAATTGATGGGAGGGATGGGTAACCTCAACATTGGGTAGATAGAAAAATTCCAGAGTAAAGTCACTGGTGGGAACCACAGTGAAGGAAAATGGAGTAAGTAACAGACAACTGGAAAGACCAATATGAAGCTGAGAAGCAAAGTAGTCACTAAGGGAGAAAACCAAGAAATCAGCAAAAGAGGCAGAGCTGATGGGCGAAGGAAAGGAGTCTAATGATTCAGTAGAAGCAGTTGCCAGCACCATTTTTTAAGAAAAAGTTAACTTAGCTCCAAACAGATCTTTTTTCCAAATTCCAAAATGTTCTTTTTCCAATTCCAAATCCCTCCTCTTTCCATTCTTAAGAACGTTCATTTATACTAAAGCAAACGTAGCATTTGGCAGAAAACAGGTAGGGCTCAGAAATCACTGTAGTTGTCAGGGATAATGACCCATACTAAAATGATCAGAGTAGCACACAGCTTACCCTGCTTTGCTTCCAATTCTGCTTCTTTTTACATATGAGATTACAGGATTTTGTTAAGGGTAGCAACTTGTTTCCTGGAGTACATTAAAGTGGCCATGCCTTATCATTACAAAAGAGCCACTTCAGTATTTTTTTTTTTTTTTACCAAACATTTGTGTCAACATTACAAATGGAAGGAATGTGTCATGCTTAGTATTTACACCCTCCCTTGCTTTTTTCTCCATGAAAGATTCCTCAGCTAGAAAACACCTCTTTATTCTACATGGGATTACATGGGGCATCTCCTTTTTCCCCTCTTGTAAGGGAAGTTCTCATTCCTCCTGCATTGTTCCCTTCCCTAAAAGTAGAGCTCATTACACTGAATATAACATTTGTAACATGGACTTCGCTCACTTTATTAAAATTAATTAATTCACAAAAGCACATTAATAATGCTAGACTCCATAAATAAAATAGAAACAACCTTCCAAACCAAAACAAAGCAGTAATAAAAACCTCACACAGTAAAAAAATTCCTGATTATACTCAATACAGAGACCAAACAATGGAAAAGAAGCTAGAAATATGGAGACTCAAAATATGTCAGAAGTCACATGTCAGGAGTTTCTGTATGTTCAGATCATCTTCTTTTGAGTTCTGTAATATTACTAGACTGTGTTTTGGTTTGCCAACTACTACAGCAAATGGTTGGCAAGTCCACTTTTTGGAGAAAAACAAAATAAAAATCCTTTTTAGTCGAAGTAAAAATTCATAAACCAGAACACAAATGTACTTCAATTTGATTAACACAGTGTTACATGGAGCAACAAACTGGGATTACTCCTTCTCTCACACTTTATTATTAACACAGATAAACACTAGGAAGAAGCTTTCGAGGCAGCAGCCTCTTCAATTAATATGATTAAACCTCTATTGAGTCACATGGCATTCAGCTTTTAAAATAACATAATTGCAATTCTGTCTCTAACAAACTGCTCAAGACAATAACGCTCTTTCAAGTCTATCCTGGTTCCCCCTGTCAAAATGGGACTTCAGACCTTTGTATTTTTACTAGGCTTCTTTTCACTTAAGAGTACGGTTTGCAAAACCATCTTGGGCTCAGCACTGAAGGGATGGCACATCACTTTCAGCAGCAGACCCAGCAGAGTCTTTGTCTATCAGGATTTCTAGCAGAGTATTCCACTGCTGCCTGTACCTTTAGAAATGAGCATCAGCTCTCTGTGACAGCCAAGATGATTGTGATGAAGGATAATGGAGAGATGTATCTATATGCACACTCTTGGAACCTTAAAAATAATTATGTGTCTCTCTCCCCTCCAAAGTAAAAACTGCTCTCAGATCTCTGTTGAGGAACTTTGTTAATAATGACACGTAAAGCCAAAAAGATACATCTTATCACTAAATTCTCTACACAGTAGTGTACCAGCAGCTGCTAAGCTTGAATTTCTTTTTGTTTGGTTATTTTTAAAAAACTTATTTAAAGTTTACAAAACTTACCACTTATAATCACGCCTTCTGTCCCCTTTGCTGATTTTCGTAAGATTGTTTCTAGCACATGGGATAGGAAGAGTAATGAAATATAGGACACCATTAGAACTAGCCTTCCTTTCCCCTACTCTGTTTTTCTACAGACAAATACCTGCTACAGCTTCTTCACTTTCAACTTTAGTAACTGGTAATTACCTACTTGTACAAGCTGGGAAAGACCATTCAAGTTCACTACCATCAGCAGCTTATTACCAGGGGCAGAAAAACAACTGACAGAATAAAACAAAGCAGCATCCTTGTATTAAGCTTTAATCTAGACTTCCTCCACAAGCCATTAACAACATTTAAACTCAACACAAGTTGTGACTAAACATTCATGACACTCCCCAAAGCCTAGAGGGCTAAGTACAAAGCCTTCATCACTGTTCACCAGCTAGCAAGTAAGAAGTGAGAGACCAGCATATACAGCCGAAGCTCATCCTCCATCCACTTGGTAACTTCAGCCTCCTCTTTTATAGCTTTCACTACCGCAACCATATTCTTGTATGGTCTATAAGATGTAGCTACAAAATGGCTCTTTTGAGTCCTCTACTTTTTCTCCCTACAAATCTACACTAAGCACAGATTCCTGCTTTCACCTCTGAGGACTTCACAACTCTACCTCCTTTACTTAGTAGCTATGAGAGTAATCTAACCACTCTCATCACTCAGCTGGCATTTCCATACAACTGCCGCCCTGACCACCAGCTTCGGCTGTTAGTGTCTCTGCACTTCCTTCCACTTTGCTCATTACACATATAGGGCCACCTAATTTAAGTTATAAACCCGTATGTCTCAATGCATTTTTTTAAGGCATATTCCTGTCAAACTGACAAACTTCCGCCAATTGGCCATGGCACCATCATTCCTGGCAGGTTTCATCTTTCTACACATATTCAGTCCCTGGTTAAAAACAGGCAAATGGCTACAGACATGTGCCTGGCAAAGAGATGACAGTTCTTCACCATGGCCTTTATCTTGTGTGTTAGCTCATCTGCTTGTCTCTTTAGACTCTTAACCTGCCAGAACAGAAATCACAGACTGTTACAACAGTACTCGGTCCAGTACAATGAGATCCCTCTGGTAACAGAAGCATTTGGGTACTATCATAACAAATATTTACAAAATGAAGAACAGAGATTTTTCTTGTTTCCTAAGCAGCAGTAGGAAGCATTAACATTTGGTTATCCCAGTTATGCCTTTTGTATATAATCTGCTATAGTTAGCTGATGATTCAGGTCAGTAAGTAATACTGTATTTGGCAGGTATACTAAAAATAGTAGCTACCACTTCAGAGCTATTGTTTTGGTTAGATACAGACTTGCAAAAGCAGGAAAAGAACCTCTACATAACTATACTACGAAGGTATTCCCATCAGCCCATTTAAAAGCAATAGGTTCCTACAGCTTTAATTAATATAGGTTTAAATAATACAGGGTATTTTTCTTTTATATCTGCCCAAATGCACATCTTGTACTACAAAGTATTTGTCTACTGAAGTCCTGCACAATTAAATGCATTTCTGAGAGAGAAGCAATAAACAGAGAGCATCAACACTGTACTCTCATTACCTGTTTCCACAGTGTTTTCTGTTTCTGCTGCCTCCAAACCATCCATACTGTCTTCATCCTCCACTGTAGTTTTTCCTCTACTCCGAGGCCTGCAAACATAAGAGGAGACAACTCTTTCTAAACTGAAAGCATTTTTAAAATTTTGACGTTTTAAATTTAAATTAGGATTTGAATAATTTCATTTTGAGGGATAATCGTCAGCACTAAATTATGTAACGTTTAAGCAAACATGTAATTTGAGTCTTGTACAAATCAGTTTCCTCTCCTTTCTTCCTGTTCTAGGTAACATTCTCAACAATACACGTATGAATCAGCAGTTGGCCCCTTAAGTTTTTCTCATTATTCTTACAGGAGAAAAATAATAACAAACTTTTACTGATCAAAAAATGCATTAAATCAGCAAGATTTTAAGATATGAGCATCCTGTTTGCTCCACATAAGAGGCAATTGTAGACAGATGTGAGACAACACATTCCCAAATCTGGCCAGTAGTTACATACACTATAAAAGAGGTATCGATCCAACCAGAGCACCCTTGGAATAAATTTCCATAGAATAATAATGATGCTAAACCAATTAAATTGAAACATGTATTATTTTCAGTGAAATAAATATTTTGACACATAAAATAAGATGTTATGAGAGATGACTAGATGTCATCACATTAAAACAGTCATCACATGAGGACAGCACATCAATACTAAAATACCTGGCAGGTTTGTTTCAATTTCAACCAAGGTCTGACAGAAAGCAGGCAGGTTTGTGCCACAAATTCCAGCCTTTTTTCCCTGCCTGGCTCTTCAGCAACTAACACGGTGGGCTGTTGAGAAGCCCAAGCATCCAGATTCCCAGCTGTTCAGCAGCCCATTTGAAAGGGAGCCAAGAGCTTGGCACCTTGCCTCCCAAATTTTCAGGCTACTTGGCAACCTGCCTGGCGTGCTGACGGAAAGCCTGGGAGACCCTGGGAGCTTCTGAGTCCAAGTACACAAATTCTGAGTGGTTTGGGGAATCTCAGCAGTTCCAACATCTCAGAGCTCCCAGGCAACCATTCACCCAACCAACATGCCTTGAATCAGGATGCCATGCAGGCCAGCACACGGGCACCCCACTCGCCCCACACACACACAACAAAACCATTCCGGTGCATCTTTCACCAAGGATTCTGAAAGGTTTGGGCTTAGTTCTATACTGGGGGAAAAGGGTTTCATTTTGTTTCTTTTTTTTTTTTTTTTTAGCGATTAAATAATTCCAAAATTTACTTTTTTTGTACAGTGTGTTAAATCTATCCAAACTATTTTCACAGAACTAGGTCTGCTAAATCAGCTATGAAATAAACTATCGTGCAGTGCCTTCAGTTCTCATGGATCAAACAGGATGACATGCACAGAACTGGAACTATCTTTTGAGTCTACATGTGTTGCTCTCCTCCTAGAAAAGGGAGGAGTGACTGTCTTGGACTGCCTAACAAGAAGACCCCTTCAAATTGTGTTGGGACCAGTTTTGTCTCTGCAAAGGAAGAAGAATTAAAATGAAGCTCAAACCAAAGCCTGAAAAAAACCCACTCATTTTACAAAAGAGGTGGGGGGAAAACAAGTAGAAATGAAGGACAGGAGGACATTTTTATGGCATCCCCATGAAATTTGTTCAGGACAGTGCTGAAAAACGTGGGTGCAGTGGGAACCCCAGTGATACAAGGTTATCTTTCCCCCTTGGCTGCTTATCCATAAGCAGTGACAGCATACACATAACACACAAATGGCCGCCTTAAACACGACAAAAGCCAGCATCCCCTTCAGTTATTTGCCAGTTTACAAGCTTCTGGTATAGTTTCTTAAAATCCATGTTTCACACTTAAATCACAACACACTGCACAGTGACCAGAAGAAACTGTCGTACACTCCTCCCTTCAGCCACCGTATCAGCCCATCCACACGTGCAGCGACCGGCGGGCTGGCTGGAAGGTGGACACATGTTTTAGAAGTGGAAAGGACACAAATGTTTCTCAGAGCAGCATCTGAGATCACAGCATCTGAGATACAGATTTATTCCCACTCATAATGAAGAGTAGGAAGTAGAGCAAATGGAACACCATGCTCATTGGATAGAACAGGCTCTCCCAGTAAGACTGAGATACAGCAAGAGAGGCAAGACCCTTCTAGCACTGAGAAAAACAATGCAGCTGGTAAGAAAACAAAAGCATTTAAGTATTACATTTCTTGTAGTTCTTCACAATATCCCAGCACATCAGCCAGCACCAAATGAAAGGACGGGAACACAGGTAAGTGAAATCACTTCCCTTGGTGCAGGAATGCTCAAAAGCTTGATGAACACAACCAACTAGGAATAGAGATTATTTCTAAATCCTATTCCAATAATTATTCTACCAACTCTCCATCTGCAACACAAAGTTACAAGGTAGTACTAAACCAGGATTACTTTGAAATCATCAAAGGTAAATGACAGTTTGGCTTTCTTCACAAGTACTCCATTTCAGTATTCTCCAACATAACCCTGTAGGTGAAAGTCACTGGATAGCGGAAGATGATGATTGTTTATGTTTATTTAATACTTTACATATGGCTTTAGATTTTCTATTAGAAATACATTTCTTGTATTAAACACTGAAGTACCTCACAAAGCCTTTTTAAACATTTTGTTTAAGCAAGAGCAGTGTTCACTCCTTGAACTCCCTACCGTATTTTAGCAACCTATTTAACACTAAGGAAAATCAGAGGTTTCAATTAATTAACATAACTGCTTCTTTCAGCAAATGATATAACCACGTATGGTGTTTTATTGCCATGCCCCTCCCCAAAAATATTCTACAAAAAGCCCTCATAATGCTCTGCAGGTTTTAAATAAAACTGAGGTAGAGATGGAAAAAATACCAGATACCATTGACTTATTTTTGCTAGCTACATTCACTGCACAATCATCAGAAGAGATTTCATAGTCTATAAATTTCTGGTTGGCTTAGAGAAAAAAATAATTCAAGTCACAAAACAGTGGAATATATATTGTACTGACAACGGTAATTTAATGCTTCCACAGAAAACGCCACTTGAGAAGGCCATATAGCATACCTAATCATTGCAATCAACATTTGTAATAAGAATGGATTGTTTAATGTTATTTGCATTAAAGTTTATACATTTTATTTAATAATTTTATACAAAAGCTTTTGGCTGGTTTGCATAACACTAGATTTTTCCACTGACAAACCCTGAAATTTTTTTATTTTTCTATTTTCTTATTCTATTCCCCCTTAAATAAAGTGGGAAAAGCAACCTGTGCTCTGTTCTTCTCCTGGGACTAGACTACTGCTTCTGAAGTTCATCCTTCTGTGGGGGCAAGACAGCAGCAGAGCCAGCTTTTGCTGCCCTAAAACTATTACGGAACAACAGCCCGTGACTATTCCCCTTAGCTCACACGGCCAGACAGTACTGAACCGTAACTGCTATACTGAACAGTATAACCTGAGTTCTGCTCTACATCTCGAAGCTCAATCCCAAACTGTCTTACTAGGAGGAGTAACTACCTCATGCTTTTACATATCATTGCAGAAACCCCATCAGCCAGCAACAGCAGAAGTACCCAACACAGATGAGCCACGTCTCCTACAGCTTACAAACCAAGAACAAAATGTACAGGCAGAGCCTGACCAATACGGACTCTACAAGGAAACAACAATAAATATTAGTCAGTACAACAGGCAGTGGGCTTGGCACGCAGGCTGAACTGCTGCCAAGGTTTCCACGACTGGCTTTCTTGCTTGCCTTTTTCCTACAATGAAGTTCAATTTAGAAGGAAAAAACAAAAGCACATCTATTGATGTTTAAAAGAACAGATCCACTGAGAGAAATAGAACTTCTTCGAGTGTTTAAAGCACATTCAGCGTTTCATGAAACAAAGTCAACAAAAGACGAAACTATATTTTTTTATGTATACAGGACTCCAGTTGAATATAATTACTGTCTACAACAATTTTACTCATATTTGCATAAAATGAAGTAGTTTATCAAAATCCTTTGTGACCTACTCCTAAATTTGTTATCAATTAGCTTTCTTAGCTAATGCCTTTCATTAATCTCTATCTTTAAATACACCATAGTAAACAAAAATCACGTAATTCTTCTCTGGCTAAGCAACTAATTAAATTTAGCCCACAGGAAAAAGAGCCCAGAAAAACCTTTTTCAGGGCTCAGCAGAGCATTAGGCACTCCCTCTGCTCTGGGGGAAAGCCTTGCTCAGATTGTCTCAAAGGCGACGTCGCTAACACAGGAAGATCACCAGGCACCCAAGCGGCTTCTGCTGAATTGCATGGAGAGCATCACAGATGCACAATGCTGGGAGAAAATGGGAAAGTGTCTTATTTACCTCCCAGTATTCAGATACTACTTTTCCTTTTTTTTTTTTTATTTTTTTAATGCATGACATTTTTTTGCATATTTGCAGTTGGGGTTTTTTGTTGTTGTTTCCTTTTTTTTTTTTCTTTTTTCCATCTGAAAAAAGGTGATAGCAATAGCACCATAACCTGACAACTGCAATGTAGGTCAAAAGTACATCTTGGATCTTACTCATTCTTTCCACAAAGTGATCAGGAGTAACACCATGGGCCAGTATCTCCTGGAACCACATGAAATAACTGACAAAGCTACAAACCTCAGATGCCTGTCACTGCCAGGCTGCTAGTTTATGATTAGCCAGAAGTTAGGGTCAGGCACCAGTTTCTGCAAGTTCTCCATAAGTTGCTACCAACAAAATCAGGTGACAATTTGTTCAGACCATCCATGGAAACTACCTTATTAATCCAGTGCATTTTGTTTCAGGCTTATGAAAATGTGTTTGTACAAACTACTCCAGAGCTTCCCCTCTTTCTCAAATGTCAAAACCTCTAGGTTGTTCAGGGGAGAAACTACCTTCCTTTCTACATCTTGCAAACTGCTGAGCACAATGATGGTACTAAATATATAAACAGGGCCAATAACCTTAAAAAGCAGTGTAACATCTGGGATACAGTAACATCCTAAACCAGCACAGATGTCTTGTTAAATGAACATCTGTCCACAGCCTTACCCTAGAAGATGGT